CTTTTTCGGGGCCTTTACCCAATTGAAATGCAGCTCGGACGAGAATTCCAAATGGAAAGTTGGGAGGCAGTGGCTTACTTTGGATAGCATGCCCGATGCTTGAGAGCGGTCGAAGGGTCCCGCGCAAAACAATAAGCGAAGGCGTCCGAGCGCGCGCCGATTGAGGTTGCGCGCGCCGGTTCAAGAAATATTTTCTCGACCCAGGAGGAACATCAACCAGCCATCCCACTGACCTCCGGACTGCGCCAGGAGGTCAGTGGGATGGATAGGAACCCCACTATAGCAATATCCCCCAAGGCACGAATCTGCCGGGACACTGTCTTTGATTTCTATTGTAGTAAAGAGCCACCATGATAAAAGAAAGTGAAAAGGGGTCTTGGCAAAGCCGTACTTACTTCAAAAAGATGAACGACATAATCATTCAACAGAGGAGATTGTGCATCAATCCCAGTTGTTCTGTGTCGCATTTTTAGATACTTTTCCGTCATCCAAAAGCAATAACTCGCATCAGATTGAAGGGCCGCTGAGGAAAAGCATTTCTTGAATCGGCGTTTGAAGCTGATTCCGAATATACTCAGCTAATCGTCGGGGGCAGGCGGCCATGCGAATTTTGAGCAAGCGTGCACCGAAAATAGTTCGTCGATTTCTTGCGGTCCGCTTGTAGAAATTTGGAATGATTTTTGCCAGTTTTTGGACGAACGCTCAAAGAACTATCACGGTCTTTTTATGGATAAGTTGCGGCCCGGTGGCAGCATTCTCGCGGACTTTCCGGAGGATATGCAAGATTGTTGGGGACCGCGATGAAGGACCGCACTGCTCAAGGCGCCTTCCGCTGACAGAAGGTACGTCAAACCCCCCAAACTTGGGTTATTAAACCATGATGAGACCTCTGCCGCATAGAGTCTCACCTTCGGCGTACGCACTAAATTGCATAAAAAGAGTCCAAGCGTTTGTTGAAAGTTTGGCCAGCGCTCGCTGAAAGAAATTATTTGCCTTGCAAAAAATGCTGTATTGCTGCACGCTGCTAGAATGTGCGACCGTAAAGGAAGTGCCGCCCGCTGAAGATTTGGCCACGCACCAAATTTTGCTGACCGCCTGCAAATCGCGAGTTTGCGGACCGCCTGCCCTTGGCGATTATCTGAGTATAAGTCCTTTTCCAAAACGCCAAGCTAAGTTAGATAGTTAGTACCTTTTCTTGTTAAATTTACAGTATAAACCGACAAACCACTTTTCCTTTGCTGTAGGATTACGATATGAAATTTCATCATAGTCCTTCCTCTGGCTCTCCGTGGCTCATGAGCAGAGCAAGGCGGGGTACGCCAGCTGATGAGCAATAAAATGACCGAAAATACTGAGGGTTGCGAAGGGTTGCAAAAGCTTAAGGCTGTTCCACTAAGAGGCAGCACAAATACTCTTCTCAGCTATGCCATGCTTGTTCTGCTCTAAAGAGACATAGCGCATTTTTCTCAGCGTGCTGAAAAGAGCTTCGCGAGAACCACAGCTTACACAAAGCAGGAAATATGAATCAGTACAATGCAGCACATTTCTTCTAAAGCTTCTCTAAAAGGATATCAGTCCATCAAAAACTCGACTCTACCAAATTCACACTTTATTGGTAACTCCAAAGGTTCAAATGCACTTCTAAATTACTCAGACAATCACAGGCTCTCAGCCGGCGGCCACAAAGCCACCGCGAAAACCCACCAAAAGCTCCGTGCCTTATCGCCTCACTGCCGCTTCCCGCTTTCCTAAAAGATAGGAAGTGTCCTTAGCCCAAAAGCTTAGAGGTTAGCTTAGATCGTATACTACGACTATGTACGGCCACGTTTGTAAACTCTGGATAAAGGTTATAACTAATGAAATGGCAAGTAACAGTTAAGTGGATGAGTACGCAAGTACGCAGTGATACACACGCATAGATTTACGTTCTTTAGAACTGAAAATATGCTGATAATAGACCTTGAGGGTACAAACATTGATAAAACGAATCCATATGGGGAGCGGCGACAAAGCAATACACATTCCACCGCGATAAATATATTCACAAACATGACTGAGGAACTGCCAGTGTTAGCGCGCAATGCAGGGATTTCTCATGCGAATCAAAAATCCATTCGCGCCTGATATCGTTCAGGCAATTGTCAGTTCTGACCCAAACCCATTTTCCTTATGTTGTGCAACACTTCCTCTGGAATTGTGTGCGTCTTCGTCGGTGACTGCAGCGTCTAAGAGAAGCTGTAATTGACTACGATTACAAACATCATGAAATGCCTACAAAAGAGAGAGTAGTTGGAAATATATAGATATACATCAAAGACAGATATTAGACAGAGAGAAACGCAAAACAAATATGGTACAGCAATTAGTGGAAGTATGAAAAGCCCTAATTTCATTTCCAGGAGGTAGGGAGACTTTATCAAGCCTTCACGATAAAAAGAGACAGAAACTAGTTCCACATCATACCTGTAAATAACTATCGTCGATTCGTAGACTGCGCGGACTGGACATAACCGCGGAGCACGCGCCGCGAGGTAAAACGCTTGCTCCAATACAAGATCGCCATTGTTCTGCTCTCGCAACATGTTAACCGCGAAGCATGTGGTCCGCAGCGCTTCAGCAGTCCGTACGATCAACGAATCGACGATAGCTGCGTTGACGAACGACTGCGTGCCAAACAATTTTCCGTAAAACTGTAAACCTTTTATGTGCTCACTGTACAAGTACAGTCGATTCATTTCATATGATCATGTGTGCACCCGCACACACCGTCCATCTTTGGCGTCCCCATCTCGGATTTGCGATCGCAAAAACGCGAGAGAGTGAGCAATTGCTATCGCTTACGTCATTTAGAGATAAATAGTACCTAAAAAGAAAAGAAAACAGCGAGAAAACATCAGAATCGCTTAACGGAAGGGTTGCGTCCTCCGAATCCAGGATGGTACGCCAAAGATGGACGGTGTGTGCAATGGCACACATGATCATATGAAGTGAACCGACGGTACATCATTGAAAAGGTGCGCACTGTGTTTCGATGAATGCACTTGGCTTCGAAATGAGAATTTTACTTTTTGAAAAGGCCGATCGGTAGAAACACGTGCGACGAAAACAACTTACGCTGTGTGTGGCACTCAGACTAAACCTCAAATCAATCCTTCCTCACTCAATGAACTTTGCGTACAACACGCTGGCGTGGGGTGAGCCGTGATGGTCGTTCTTGCGTAAAAGATCATGTTTTCGCGTGTAATCCGCTGAGGCTGAGAGTTTTTTCTCGAAAAAATTATAAACACAGGATTGAAGTAGCAAAGCATAGCGACGCCCTCTAATCAATAAGCATTTCGAAAATGGACGCATGCGAAACGCAATGATGCAGATCTTTGAGCGCAAAGAGAGCACGCTTGTAGTCGAATGATGTGACAGCGGCGAAAATGTTGAGAGAAAGGCACTTTTATGTTTACATTCGTAAAATGAGTGAATAGATGGTTTTTTACGGTTTTCGAGAGAGTTTGAAAAAGAGTTTTTATTACATTGTGCAGTGAATGTTTTGATTCAAAAACAAACGGGGCTTTCATTAAGCACTTCTTCCGGTTGGATAGACAGTCAAACATAGAGAACAAAAGAAATCTGATATAAAAAGAATCGTTAGCTCAATTCAAAAATCTTCAAATAGCGGGGAACCACGACGAGTCCCGAAGCAAACGCTCTTCCAAATAGCGCCTATGGCCCCGGGCAGACTTCACGCGATTTGATCGTCGCGACTGAATCGCGAGGAGACAACTGTTACAACATCGTTCCATGCAGATCAACTTGCATTCGGTTGTGATACTTTTCCAGACCGAAATTTTTGAATGTGAAATGAAAATGATTGGAAATCTTGGCGTCGCGACGATTAAGTCGCGTGAAGTCTGACCGGGGCCTATAGGTACTGGTTCACTAGTACTTGAAATGAAGCACTGAATGATAACGAAAATGAAAACAAAGAAAAGCAAAGATGAAAACAAAGATTAGGCAACAAGAAATGAAAAAATGACGCGAGCCCACGCTGCCAATCTCGTTTGCCTGCACACCTAACTTTTCTGGTGCGATCAACAATGTCTCGAGCGGGCAACGATATGGCATCCAGTTGGCAGCCACAATACGGCGTTATGAATTAAGGCTGCCTGCTAATAGCATTGATGCGGCCCGCTGACAGAAATCTTGTATTCGCAGCCCCATCGTTTCACGGTCGCTGCCAGCTTAAAGGAGTCGCTGCCTCATCGTCGCCTTTTGGCTGCTTTTGTAGGAATGAATGCGCTCTGCAGCTATTTTCTGACTCATGGAAGATTATAGCTGCCCGCTGGTAGCCCGTCGCTGCCCGCTCACCGCCATTCCTACAATGTCGTCGCCCGCTCACTGCCACTTTTGCAGTATCGCCGCCCGCTCAGTGAAACTGCCCTTTATCGCCGCCGGCTGAGAGCCTGTGATTGTCTGAGTTATGTGTACTTGAGAAATTATAAAATTACAATTTAGCCTCCCCAATTGTCCGGCTAGGCTCAAGCATTCTCTTTCAACAAGCAAAGCTGCTATGAGCCGTTAAATGGAGAAGGTATCATAGTTTTGTGTTTCATCATTTTCGTCCAAAATAGACAACTTCTTTCATACTTAGGAGAGCCATAGTATCTGCATACAAAGCTTTTGAGATGTTTAGGTTTGATATGAACATATCAAACACGTAATTGCGCAATCATATTTATTCTACTGCGAATTCAAACGCAGTATCCACATGTTTTAGGGCATTGTTTCTTCATCACTTGCTGATAAAGCAAGTTGTTGCATAATGCACGATTTCGAACGCAGTCTTGTCTAGTTCTCGGATCGACAAAATCTTGGCAGGCTGGAAACACAGCGCTAAGAATTTGAAGTTGAAATTGTGCGTTATTTGTTTACCTGACTGGCATTTATTGCATGTAAGTGGACACTATTCTGTCATAAGCTGTCTATACATTAAATTTTCACAGAGATGCTTATTTCGATGACAATTCGAAATGCCGGTTCCTGGATCGACAAAGTCTTGGCATGCTGGAAGAATTTAGCTTAATGTTGATAGCTAGCAGCCTGAAAGTTACACTTACGCACTGTTGGAGTCACAGGAATTACCTGAAAGTAGATAGCCAAAATGAAAGTCGTAACTTCTGAGTAACTAAGTTAGAAAAACGGACTGTTCTGTAATTTAATTTGTTGTTAGACTATGCTAACAAGGTAAACGCACGGTCTATCTGACATAACCCAATGTCAGTACTTACTAAAATAATTTCGTTTGTAAGTCTCACATCCACAAACAAAGCATTGTAGTCACCTTAGTGGAATCGCAACAAAATTCTCCTCTTGGCGATTGTATGCAGTAGTCCAATGGGACACAAACCCGTAATACTGCTGAATACAATCCTTATCAAACATGTGGTTTGTACAAATGATTAATACTACAGTACCGTACTGTACTTGAGTAGGAGTTTTCGCAATTTTAAAGGCACCATCCACCCAGAACTTCAACCATTATGTTTTTGCCGTTCCAGGGCCTTCCCATACACCTGATTTCGAATATCAAGTCGGAAACTCGTAAAAACCATGAAAACCCCGTTCGCAGAATCCGCAGAGCAATTTCTTCGCAACGATGATTGGTTGGCCGCGCACGGATGGGCGGGACGAACGTCACCCCCACTCAAAGGGGAGGAGCCAACACGGCGAATCTGTCATCCGAGCGATTATCGGGGGCAATTTTCTCGCTTCGGAAGCAACTTCTACCAGCGCAGTTGGATAAGTATACAGTTGGGGGTCCCACTACTGTTGGACATCAAAATCTCATCGACCCGATTTTGGGTAGACGGTGCCTTTGACCTTCCCAAACCAGTTAAAATTCTCTCTTGAAATTGTTATCAACACTGGATTGTCGCGCTAGTTGAACTGCAGAACAAATTTTAGTGGGATGTAAATTTTGATATCCTTTCTATTTGGGCACATTCATCACTCACCAATGTCAGCCTAGCAGCTTCTTATAGTTAACGTATTCATTTGTGACAGTCCCGTTAGCTTGATTGAACGAATGCAAAACATTTATCAAAACTCTGAACAAAAGCAGTACTGAAGAAATATGTCTGCTATTGATCCCGCTGGTACTGTTTTTGACACCTCCAACCTTGGCCACCCTGATGGCGTCACGGCAACACTAAGGTTCTGATGGTGTGTTGATAGCTTCGGCTAAGCAATTGCCCTGCCTTACAAATTAACGGCTTTGTTTAGTCAGGGACTAGAGCATGCTGAATACCCTTTGAAATAGAATTTCAAGGAGAATACTTGGCATGCTCTACTCCGCTAAATATGTCAATGTCTGAAAAATTTAAGTTCTTTTCCTGTCATACGGTATCTTCGCACAAAATTTTGCTACAAGTTACAATGCCGTCAACGAGGATAGGGCAGTCATACATCCACGCGCGGGAGCTGCGTGGAAGCAGCGTGCAGGACCATGCTGCGCACAGCATCACGGGCCTTGTTTTACCATTGTATCTATCATTTTCCCTTTTGTTGCTGCGCATTGTAAATTTTCGTTTCTATGCTCATATGCGATCTGCCTTAATTCCACCTAAGGTTTTCATCGCAGCAAAGGAGGGAGATATCAAAGCTTTGGGCCTTTCTTTTCTCAATAACGTCTTTCTTTCATCCAGTCTTTCTTCGGATGGCTGATATGTCCGGGTATCGAATAATCATTTTATCGATTCGTGTTTCAACAGACACAATCGTACATAATTAAGTTTGAGTGAACGCGAGAGCGCTGTTCACTCCTGTTCTCTCAACCTATACGCATAGATAACACCTTATATTCACCTTTAGCTTCGGTAAGAAGAAAGAGCACATCGTTTTCAGAATTCTCAAATGGAATAATATAGTTCACATCCTACCTTGAAAGACCTCTCTCCGTTTCGTCTCAAGTTCGCATGGTGATACTTTGGGAGATCTCAAGAAGTACTGAAGTACAGTTTCATGAGAAAAAGCTCAGAATTTTGAAATCAGGTCAGAGAACAAGTGCAAGAAATAAGCGAAGGAATGGCCAAAGCAAGGACTACGCCGTTTTGCGCGGCATGGTCCTTAGGCGTTGCAGATACGGTAGCGCTTGCGCGTACAGGGCTCCTAGATTGCAGAGTCGTTTGCACCAGCGGTCGCGCGACCGCTGTCGCGCCCGGCATTCAATGGCGCCGCCTCGATCGATGGCGCCATCGCCGGCAAAATGCCCGGGCGCGACGCGGTCGCGCGACCGCTGGTGCAAACGACTCTGCAATTTAGGAGCCCTGTATGTGTGTGACTACACTAGGCGGCCCTGGGACAGAGCGGCAGACAACTTTTGAACTCCCTTTCACATCAAGTAATTTCAAGTTGCCTTAAGGCTAAGGTACCTTGCTCTATTCCATTCGCTGCGCCATTTGGTACAACAGCGACTCTTCGTAATTCGTCGTTAATGCGCTGACTTTGATCAGAACTTGATCCGTTCCCACAACTTACACAAGCTAACCAAAAACGCGCAGATAAATTCGTAGAAATTTGGCAAATCGCCAAGTCGCGTGAAAGTGGCGATTCGTGCGAATCGCATGAGGTATGCTGCCTTAGGCCTGAGAAAAGGGCAAAAAGTGTTGATTGCTAGAACTGCACTCGCTTCATTTTTTGCTGTCTGATCTTTAGCATGTATAGTTTATTATGGCTACTATAACGATAAGGTACTTGTCTGCTTACATGGCATCTGAATCGAGACTACAATATAAAAGCAATGCCTATATCGCGCTGGATTTTGCGTCACACTGTTTGCTTTTCCTTCAATCCTTGAGAAAATTTTCAGCTATGCCAATGCTCTAGAATCTCAAACTCGGTTGAACCAGTCAAAGAAGCTGATTGTAATAACATTTCGAAATACCAGTATATGAGATAGATCCTTATGCCCTGGGCATAGTTCACGCTATTTGAGCAATCTGGTTTGCCACATGTTTCCAAATCCAACACTGGCAGACCACAAGTACATAAAGTGTTAAACTTTCGTGAATTGGAGTACGTCTATCTTCTGTACATTCGGAATCCGCTCTCGATGAGTCATACATAGGGACAAGCGCGGAGTTTGACACGCCACACTTGTGGTCGTATTGAGGTGTCAGAAATAAGGGGCCGTATTGAATTGATACTGATGTCAACTCCAGCTTGATGTGCAAGATGTCAGATGAGCTATGTTAACAAGCACACGGACCAATCTATACATATAACTAGCTTGCTTACCCGGCTCCGCTCGGTCCTGTCAAAACACTATAATAAAGGTCCCATCCCTATCCCTGTACAGCCTTTCCCTGTGCCCAGTACCCTTCATTTTCCGTTCTTTGTATTGTTTACGAAATCAGCATACCCATACCCCCTGTGCCATATCACAGCCCTTCAACTCAAACCTTGCAAAAAAATCGATAAAATCGATAAAAGTAATCGATAATTCTGAAAACTAAGATTGCATTCGGAATCGCCATGCTCACTTGCCCCCCTGTGCCAACTCCCAGTCCCGTAGGTGAACTCCGCAAATAATCGATATCGATTGATAACGAAAAGTAGTCTACGACACGCTCCCTGTCCCGAAGTGTATGTTGCCAAGTTTGGTCCAAATCGGTTCAGAAATGAAAATTTCTATTCCGCACATACGTACACACATACATACAGATAGACATTCGCTTTATATATAAGACTAGTGAAGCAGTAATTAAAGGTGCTAGATTGCACCCGCGCGCTGGGACCGCCACGCGGTCTCCCGCTATTTTTAGATTTTTGAATTGCGCTTATGTTTCTTTATTTATTAGATAAGCATAAGAAACCCTATCAAACGAAATGAGTCATTTTTTCAGTTAGGACGCCCAATAACCCTTGTTCACCAAGTTTTAGGAATTCTGAAATTTCTAGATAATGGGCCGCAAAAGTGAAATGGTCATTTTGAAACATGATTAGCTTTGTTTCAATGATGAGTTAACCAATGTAATGCTATGCGAAGGCGGCTGCCAATGTAAGCGAGGCGTGGGCAGGCGCAAGAGCCTCAGTGATAAAAGATGCTCGAACGTCGCGCTCGCACCCGCTTTGCAGAGTAAACCGAACGCCTTCGTCGGGGATAAGCCTTTAACTCTTGATACAAAGACTTACTCTTTTTGCCCAAACTAAGTATTTTACTCAAAATAACTGCCAAACTGCAGGATTAGAAGCCAGTTAAATTCTTTGTACTTTTTCTCGCTTTCAAATACTTACAGTGAATATACGCAGATTTAGTATGAATTCTACTCTGTGGAGAAGAAGGCTCAGCAATTTGAATGATATAGAAAATATTTGAATGCCCTAAAAATGACTTATTGAGAAGTGGCACTACACCAAAAAGGTGTAGGCAGCCTTTTTTGAGGCTGTGCCAAAGACTTCGCGAACAGATACAGATACTATAAAGACATTGCGAGGGTCTAAATCTCGCAGTTTTTACTAACTAATTTGAATCCGATCCGTCTTCTTCACTTTGTGCTATAGTTGGCGAAAGCTCAACTACAGAAGCGAAAGATGGGACTTTTCGCGTTTCTTATCTCACACTTTAACTGTGGTTTGAAATGGGCCTTTAGTCCGGGCAAATAAAGTCTAATGCTTTGTGTTAAGTACAAAAGTGGTAGGTAACTTTCTAGTGAAATAATTAATCGTGTGACTACTTCACTCATAGAAAAAAAATTGTACGCTAAGAATTCGCAGAAATCTGAAGAAGGGTTGTTTGACAATTACGACCATGTTACTCATTGGCTTGCTAGGGTTTCGATGTCACGCCTACGGTAGGCAGTGATAATGCTGACCTGGTTATAAACAACTGGTGCATATGCAAATCGCGTCGCGACTGAAATCTCAAGAATTATGCCTGCCTTATGCAGTTCTTCCTACCAAAATCTGGATGGCGCAACGATGAAAATTTTATTTTCAATTCTGAGATCAATTTTTCCAACTGTTTTAAGCTTGAGGATTCGGGACATGGACTTAACTTAGTTTTCTCCTTTTTGTGTCTAGTACGACACAACTCTGGGACACCCTAATGCGCCGATTGGGATTGCGCGCGCCGGTTCAAGGGCTATTTCTTGGCCTATGGCATCAACCAGCCGGACTGCGCCTGGAGGTCAATGGGATGATCAGGAATCTCAATATAGCAATATCCCTTAGGGGGCAAATCTGTCGAGGAGTGCCTCTAAGTTATCTTAAATACAAAAATCAAAGTTTGTGTAAATCTTGACCGTATGTTTTTTATAGACTTCTTTGCGCGTGAACCGAATGGACTAAAATTTTGCACACATATGTTTTCAACCTCGTAGATGGTTTTAAGCTACCTTTCGAAGCGATTCGCGGAATTCTTCTGTTGATTCACTGATTTTTGG